GATTTAACAATAGCAATACAACTTGACCAACAGTAAATCGATGTCGTCGATGTTCGATAATATCTTCTTGTCTCTTGTTAAACTTTAAATACATACATTTGTTCGACATTTCCTTCATTCTAGTACCGATTGTCGTACTGTGCACACTTTTGCGCTTTTCGGCGCTCCTTTGGAGCAAAAATAAAAGAATTATTAATTTATTAAAAGAATTATAATTTGTATGTGATTGGTAAAATATTGGTTATTTAGTGTCGAAAAATTGTGGTGGTTTTTGTTTGTAAATTGGAAGTTGCAGAAGTTGTGGGGAAGTGGTGTGGAAGAGCGTTTACGGTTTAGCTGGGCCGTTGGTAAATGAGCTACCAGCAAAAATAATAAATGATTTAATTTGAGTGTTAGTAATATTTACATATTTGGACAAAAGTGATTGTTCAAATTTTTGGACAAAAAATCGAGTGTCCCCTTATAAAGTTTTCCAAAAAAGTTTTACTTGTTTTGACCTCAGGTAGACTTTGCCAAAAAAGTGTCGTTTGTGAACAATTAGTTTGCGAAAAAATTGTTGACTTGAATCAACTTGGTTGAATATATGTTTGTACATAACTATAAATTCCAGTGTCAAAAAATTTTCTAGACAGTGTTTATCAAAAAAGTGTCAGTTTTTTGGACTACAGAACGAGTTTCCCAAAAAAGTGTCGTTTTTTTGGACCCCAGAACGATTTTCCCAAAAAAGTGTCGTTTTTTTGGACCCCAGAACGATTTTCCCAAAAAAGTGTCGGTTTTTTGGACCCCAGAACAACGAGTTTCCCAAAAAAGTGTCGTTTTTTTTTGGACTCGAGAACGAGTTTCCCAAAAAAGCGTGAACTCTTCAAATTTGATGAAGTTTATCAAGTAATTTGCTTATCAAAGCTTTTCACAGACTTGATGAGCTGATTATCGTAATTTTATTTGTGTAAAATCGGAAAAATTCTGTTGCTATTGATTTCCAAAATTTTTTCCCCAAAAAAGTGTCCTAAATTTTGACCCGAAAAAGAGACCCTTTTCAAAAGAAGTGCCAATTATTTTCATTTGTATCAATTTCATACATAATAACTTTTGATGAACATTAGTGTTTTAATTTAAATAAAATTAAAATTTAAGTGTCAAATTTAGACGAACATTGGTGTATTAATTTAAACTAAAATTAAATAAAAAACACAAAATAAATTGAGGAACATAAGTAACATTTAAAATTATATAAAGTAATTAGATTTTTATCTCAATACACGTTAAATTTAAAGTCTTAATATACACATATAAAATAAAAATAAGAGTTAAAACACAAAATAATTTGATGGACATTAGTGTATCAATTTAAATAAATTAAATTTTATTAAATACAAAGAAAATTAAGTATATAATTAGATGAATATTATTGATTTTAATTTAAATAAAATTAAGATAGGTGTCAATTATACACAAAATAATCTTGACGAACATTAGTGAATTAATTTAAATAAAATTTAGATAAATGTGCTAATTAAACACAAAATAATTTTGACAAACATTTGTGAATTATTTTAAATAAGATAAATGTGACTTAAAATTAGTAATTTAAATAAGATAAAAATAAATAAAATATCAAATAAATTAAAATTAGATAAAAGTCTTAAATACATAATAATTTGACGAACAATAGTGATTTAATTTAAACTAAATTAAATAAAAATAAGATCAAAGTGCATTAATTTCTATTAATGTTTATTTTATTTTTTCCAAATGAATTTCTCGATTTTTGAAAATTTGTCACGCTTCAAGATGGTCTCAATTGATGGTCGTCGATTATTGCGTGAAAGATAGCATTTTTAAGAAAAAAATCAATTTTGGACTAGGAATAAATTAAAAAATATCAGGAATAACTTTATAAGGATTAAGGAATTTATTGCATTTTTTTTTTAAATTAGAGTGCTTGAACTTAGTGTTATCAGTGTACAAAATAGCAATAGTTGTATTGCTATTTTATAGTTGTATTTAATAGTAGAACTTGGTTGTAAATAAATTAATCAAATATTAGTGGTAATTAAATATAATATTAATTATAAAAATACCTTAATCGTTGTGCTAATCATTAAATTTTAATTTACTGCAGTAACAAATTTAAAATATTGAAATATAAGTTGCAAATCCAACAGAATCTAAAATAATAAAATATAAATAAACAATTTTTTAATATAAAAATTAACATAGATAATTATTAAATTTCACACAATTTAAATACAACATCGCATTTAAAATTAATAATTTCAAACAACTTAGTAAGTAATAGGACTAAAATTTCATAATATTTTTGGTGTAAAATCTAAAACAATACCTCCTTTAATTAAAGTGAGTTCAAATTAAAGTGAATTTTCATAAAGAATTAATTTTAAATCATTTATTTACTATAAAAAATTAAGTGCAGACATACTCATATTTTGAGTCCAAAACCAAAATTAAGTTTGAACAATATATAGACTTTTATTAGTTAAAAATTTTAAGAAGAACTTTACTCTAAATATTACAATACATAATTTAAAATCAATTGTGGTAAAATTTTATATAAAACAATACCTCCTTAAATTAATGTGAGTTTAAATTAAAGTGAATTTTCATAGACAATAATTTTTAAGTCATTTATTTACATAAAAAATTAATATAAAAGTTAACAAGTGCATACAGACTTATATATACAAATCAAACACCAAAATTAAGCTTGAACAATATAAAGACTTTATCGGTGAAAAATCTCAAGAAGAACTTTACTCTAAATATTGTAATACATAATTTAAAATCAATTGTGGTATAAATTTTATATAAAATAAGTGTCACTTTATGTAAGAAACTTTTGGTGTAAAATCTAAAACAATACCTTCTTAAATTAAAGTGAATTTTTATAGACAATTAATTTTTAATTAATAATAAATTAACAAGTGCAGACAGACTCATAGTTTGAGTCCAAAACTAAAATTAAGCTTGAACAATAAAAAGACTTTAATTGGTGCAAAATCCCAAGAAGAACTTTTGACCATCTGCTGTTCGTGGATTGTTAATGAAAATAAAATTACAAACTACTGAGTTGGGGTAAAACCAATAAAATCAACTATCAAATTCTGAAATCAATTAAAAATTTGTTAGTCGAGAACAGATCTCTCTCAGCGATCTCGTGTACCCAGCAATTAATTCCATATCTTCAAGTATCATTTTACAATCTCGAGTACATTATTTTGTCACAAGTTTATAAATAGTACTCGATTTTATAATCGCGCGCGCGTTCTCCTCCAAAAGTCAACTTCAGTTCTAGATATATTTTCTAGTCAGTGTCAGGTTTTATTAATGCATAACTTCAGCTTTCGCACATTTGTTGTGGCGGGGAAAAACCGCCGTTCGATCTGCCATGACGTGGTTCAAAAAGTGGTTGCAAGGAAGATCCGAGAACGAGAACATCATCAAAGAGGCAGGCAGACCTGATGATGGGGTCTTTTTGGCCTTGGAAGCTACAGAAATCGAGAGGGATGGAGGCGAAGACTTCTATTCCAAATTTGTGGTCGCTGAGAGGACCAGATTTGGTGACCCTTGGATCGTGGTTGGCCCCAGGGAAGAAGTCAGGTTGGGCACCCAGAAGGAGCAGGATGGTGATGGTGGGCCCCAAAAAACCAAAAGTGGTGTGGAAGATTTTTTTGATGCACCTGAAGACTACGGTATCACTGATTATGAGGTGACTGAACGTACAAGGGATGGTGACCCTTGGATTGTGGTTTACCACAAAAACCAAGTTGAAAATGATGACGAATTTTTTGACAACATGCTTGTATCAAAAAACAATTTCATGCAACATGATGACTTGGTATTTTTTGACAAATTTACCATACTAGAAAAAACCAGGCAAGGTTCTTCGTGGATCATAGTGCAACCCAAAGACACCAAACAAGATTTTTGCGACGACTTCTTCGACAACGAGCTATTTCCTTCCAAATATTTGGTCACTGAGAAAACACGTTTTGGTGACCCTTGGATTGTAGTGTATTTACAACACGAATCAGAACTTTTGGACGACTTTTTTGATACCAAAAATGAACAAAATGCTTTACTTGATGGTTCTGATTTTTATGTCTCTGAACGCAGACGTTCTGGTGAAATTTGGGTTGTCGTAGAACATGCAAGACAACAGGATTTGAAGTTGACGTGTGATTATTGCGTGGAGGATGATTTTTTTGAAACATTGGATACCAAAAAGATTGACGAGTGCACTATTGAAGATTTCCAAAAATCTGATAACATTGAGAAGGATTATGCAAGTGAAAGCGCGTTGGCTCAAAGCCTTCTAGATTCCTTGGAGTACATGAAAGATGATGTCTCTAAAACTGACAACGTGTTTGCCAAAAACGTGTTGAAGCCTTCTGATATCCTGCAAGATGATTGTAACAAAACTTTGGGTAAAAAGTCTGTGGAATCTTGTGAATACCAGTATGTGATCACAGAACGTACTCGTGATGGCGACCCATGGGTCATCGTAGATCCCCTAAACCGACGTCTACCAACCTCCGACGACTTTTTCGATGCACCACCAGAACCAAACGGCCTAATACCAGATTCCCAACTAGTAATAACCCAAAGAACACGTTTAGGAGAACCCTGGCTAGTAATAGACCTCCCATCAGCAGGTTCTTCCAAAACAACTCCGTCCGAAGACAACGCCTTCTTCGATCTCCTACCCATATCGAAAGATGGCGCCACTAATTTTCCGAACCGACTTGCTAAAAAGTCGAGAAAGGGCGACAAGTGGCTCAGGAGTGTCGAGAAATTGAAGAAGAAAACAAGGGCGCCTATTTTGAATTTGCAAGAGTATTTTCATTTGAACGATAGTGGTGATTTGAGGGTTATCAATTTTGGTGTCAAAGTGCAGAAGGGTTGGGATAGTTGTGATGGCCCTTGGAAATGGTGGCATAGCGTTCCTTTGGGCAGGGAAGCCAGGGAGGAGAAGAGGGGCTTGTGGGGGAAGCTGATGGGCGGGATTAAGAAGATTTGGAGGAAATATGGTAAATGATTGATTTTTAAGTATTCAGTATGTTTAGAACTATCTGTTCCAAAGATTTTATTTTTTACCAAACAAAATATGGTTTTGGCTTCATCATATTTTAATTAGCAATCAGATTTAATAAAATATTGAATTATTTATTGGCTTTACATGCATGATAAATTTAAATTTAGTATGACTGTTGACTTTTTTTTATTATTTTTACTATTTTATACTTTTGATGTTTAGTTCATTGATGAAAGTATAATTTTTATCATAAATAATTATTTTTATTAATTTCTATTCGATATGATTTCATTTATAATTGTGCAAATGCGACTTGTGTCTTTGACGTAATAATTATAAATAAACTTGAAATGTTTGCCACGTGGATGCGGGTTATCTAATGGGAGCAAATCGAAAGCTCTTTATTATAAATTGTATGTAAATCTATATATATATATATATATATATATATATATATATATATATATATATATATATATATATATATATATATATATATATATGTATATATTTATATATATAAAGTACGTGTCACGATGTTGGTCCGGAATGAACTCCTAAACTACTGAACCGATTTTTTTTAAATTTTATTACCTGACTGCGTGCATTTATATCCAACTTATAGACTATACTTTAAAAAAATAATTAAAAATCTTAGGTATGGGAATCAAATAATTTCAAATCAAATATTTCTGAAATTTTGCTTATATTTGATACAATTTTTATTAATTTTTTTTTAAAATTAATTTCATTGTAACAAACAAAGCAATAATTATATGTAATAAACATATGTAATTATATGTAATTACATAATTATATGTAATAAACTCATTCAGAAGTTCAATATTTGCTCATATGTCGATAAATTCAGAAATTCAGTAAACAAAGCAATGACATGATTTTTACGTGATGTTTCCTCTTGAAAATATATTTTGATGTACAAATGTATATAATTTTTGCTTGATATCAAGTTGCCCAAAACTCCTTATTTTTGATAACTATAGACTTTAACTTAATGCGATATAACGATTTATCTAACGTATTTTCATGTAAAAACGTACAAAACTGCCGCTTGATATCAAATTGCCCAAAACTCCTGATTTTTGGTAACTTTAGACATTAACTTAATGTAATATAATAATTTATCTAAAGTATTTTTATGTAAAAACCTACAAAACTGCAGCTTGATAGCAAATTGCCCAAAACTCCTGATTTTTGATAATTTTAGACTTTAACTTAATGTAATATAATAATTTATCTAACGTATTTTCATGTAAAAACGTACAAAACTGCCGTTTGATATCAGGTTGACCAAAACTCTTGATTGAAGACCATAACTTTAGACTTTTAACTTAATGTAATATAATAATTCATTATTCGTATTTTTATGTAAAAAATTACAAAACTGACGCTTGATTTCAAGTTGTCCGTAACTCGTATTTTTTTATTTTATTTATTTTTTTAATGTAGATATTTATAAATTAAATTTTATGTAATTGAATGAACCTATGAATTCAAAAATCTATAAAATTGTATATTAAAAAAACTGCAGTCCTGTTTGCAAACTGTTAAGTTTTTGAATTTAGGCAAATAATTGTTTATGTATAAAAATATTTATATATAATAATTTATGAGTCTTGAAAAATGAAAGTTTTTGAAATTAAATTCATCGAATCCATAATTTTATAAATTTAAATAATAGCGATGGCCTCTTTGTAAATTTTTATATGTAACTAAACTCATTCAGAAATTCAATACTTATGTTAATAAATTCAGAAATTTAAAAATTTAAAAATTTATTCGTTTATTTGTTCGAACATGAAGCCAGGCTTTTCTATTTCTATTTAATATTTATTTAAATATAATTGCACAGTCAGTCTTGATTGGAAATCACTATTTTATATAAACATCTGATCATTATTTTCGAAATTATAAAATTAGTGTTTAAATAAATATTAGAATTATTAAAATTAGGGTTTGAATAAATAAATAAACAATTAAAATAAAAAGTGGTAAACCTATACAAAAGTTAAACCTAATAAAATAAATAAATAAAACAATCTTCCTTAATAAATTTGGTCGCAATATATTATTTGAAAAAATACAATTTTTTAACTTTTTGTAGGAGAATTGTATGTTTTTTTATATCGTAATTATTTCTTGAATTTTTTTGACCATGTCGATGAAAATTTGTATACATGTATGTATGTATATTATTATTATTATTAATTCCGATTCAGTCAAAACGAAGAAAACTCTCTTTCAATAAGATAAGAGACCATTAATTATTATTACATACAATGCAATATGACGCGTTCCACTTTCGCAAAAGATAACGAAAATAATCATTTTGCAAACAATACCACATTCCTTATTTATCCAAGAATTTAATACAAAAATCATAAAAATGTTATGTAAAAAAATTTGCCGCCAAAAGATAATAGACTCTTTAGGATCCGTACTCGTTCTGTATTTATATTTCATATGTTTGAGAATTTGTTTAAATTCAGTAAGTATTTGGATCATGTCGAATAGCAAAATTTAATTAAATAGATAATTCTAAAAATTATATAGCTTATATTAAAATTGCTATAATAGCCTTGAAAACTATTCTATAAATATTTATAAAAGTCGCAATTTTTAATTAAGTTTACCATTTAATAATTTATTGTTTTATTGGCAAGTGTTTCTTTTCAATATTTAATTTTTTTGTGTTTATTATTATTCATTTAATTTATCGCAAAACTTTCAATATGATAAATCTTTTATCTTTACCAATATGATTAACAAACTTCCTGGGAATATGAACTTTTTATGCCAATATAAACAAACCTATCTATTCATCAGCAAACAGATTTCAGTCTAATTGTCGCCTTTTCAGTAAATTAGTAAACATCCGAGACATTGGCATCGATTTGTTTGAGAATTAAGCTCTAAGAACAATTGTATTTCCAGGAAATGTGATTGCTAAATGTTAACTGGACTTTAGTAAACCAATAAACGAAATAATAATTGTGTTTGAAGAACTTCATGTAATTAAAATTAACATACATTCATTGACTGCTTGTATTTTTTTTACTTTTTCGCTGGCGATACAGTCTCATTCTTTGAACAGCTGTAATATCTATCTTGCCTAGAAAATATTTTTCATTTTAATAACTTCAAAGATTTATAGAAACTACGAATAATATAGAAATAATTTCTAATCAATAAACTTACGTTTAGTACACGGCACACATGTTTTATTTGTTTTAATATTTTCAAGGAACAGGGTGAAGTATTCTTCTGATTCAGGGATTTTTTTATTAAATCAAGATTTGTACTACGATGTGACTTTAAAATGTTTATTTATCAATGCTGATTTCTTTGTCGATATCGGTACGCATACAACGTTAATGCCGGTACGCATACAACGACAGAATTCTATTCACATACACGACGGCTAATCACGATCGACCCGTATAGAAATGATATCATCGAGAGCGAATGACGAATAATTGGCACTCGACGCGGCCGTAACGCACTTCCGTTGCATTTGTACGGATTTACACCCTAGTCGCGCCTAAAGAAGTTTTACTTTAATAAACTATATATATATATATATATATATATCTTCTATATATCTTCTATATATACGAGTATAAAAATAAGTCGGGTTTTCCTTCCCGACGAAATAACTTCAGAACGCACAAACCGATTTCGACAATTTTGCATTCGTTGGAAAGGTCTTGGGCTCCGCAAGGTTGATAGCTAAGAAAATTAGTTGTGCATGGCATTGTGCCTTAATGCAAGCTACCGGAACGCACCGTAATTAAAAATTTGAGTAATGACATTAGTTAGAATTATCAGAATTATGCTTGGTTAAGTCAACGAGGAATTTTTGCTGCCAAGAATAATGATGTACACGCACTGAATTTCACCATTCAATCAAAAATTGCTCGCGATTTGGTGACATACCAATGATTCCGACTGGTCTTCCGCAATTTCCAATTCGCCTTGCGTTCGCGATAACAAGTCGCAAGGTCAATCGCTTAGTGTTTGCGGGATAAATTTTACCTAGATTATTTATAAAATCATTGTTTTTCACATGGGCAGTTATACGTTACCTGTTCACGAGTTGGAAAACCAACCGCTTTGTTTGCGTTAACGTCAGACCAAAAAACAAAAAATGTGGTTTACCAAAGAGCACTTCAATGAAACGGATAATTTGCGGATTCACTTTCATTTACTTAGAGAAGTTCAACTAAAAAACACTTCATTTTTGTAATCGAAATAAATTCATTACTGTTGTGTAATAAAATCAAATTTTTCCTTTTCAAATATAAAACAAACAAAAAATTTCTTCATCTTTCTCACGAAAACATCTGGTGGCGAAACGGAGTTCGTCGGGTTTGCTAGTCTTGTATAAATACTGTATACTTCTACAACTAGTTTTATTACTTAATTGTTCCTGAACACAAATAATCAATTGTACTATTTTTTTTCCAGTTTCTTCGCCCCGAACTGCCAATTCCACCAACGGTCCAGCCTCAAATTCTTGCCATCAGCAGCAACCCTCATCTCAAGGGCTTCGTAAGGGCGAAGCACCAGGCCTAAGGGTGCGCAGATATGCCCTTCAATTAGCCAAAGACAAAAGCACTACTTTCGCCCAAAATGTAGACCATTTCATTGCTTGCACAAGGGATGGAAGGGAAAGACAACCTCATGTGGTCATGAGGAACATGAGGCAGTTCATGTCAGGTAATAATAATAAATCATTATATATATATATACATATATAAATATATATATTAGCTAACTCGGCAAACGTTGTTTTGCTAAGTAAGGTATATTATAAACAATTTCTAGAGAATCAAAAATATTAATACTTTTAGTGTATAAGGATGTGTTGTTCGAATGCTATATGATGCAATGAGGTATTATAAAAACAATAAACCCCATTAGTTTGTCTATTTTGTCAATACAATCAAACTGCAAGTTTTATACACTTTCTATAGAAAACATCGTATAATCCAATCCGAGTCTTTTTTGGTCTTTCGACTTATTGAATACGTTTTTCAGATTTTTTTTGGACTCTGGATTTTGTGTATAATTGTAAATAATACTAATGAGCTTATACAAAATTTTCAAATTTCTGCGAGGAGAGATAGAAAATAAATCAAGTATTTCTTCTTTGACCTGCTTTTTGAAAAGTTTCAAGTAACATTCGATGAATTAAAGTAAATTTAATAAAAAGTATATATGTAGAGCAGGGCGAGGCACAAAGGTCCAAATTGACTTTGTGAAAATATTAATTATATTATAAAAATCAAACCAATTATATCACAACAAATATCACATTTCAAACGAATAATTATCTGGCTATGTTTAGTAAAACTGCCAGCTACATCATTATTGTAGAAATTTTTGATGTCTTTCCAAAATTTGTTATCTAGACCTTTTTACCCCATAGGCGGGGTAACTTGGAAGAGCCAGTTGGCAAACAGGTTTAATGGCTTATTTTAATTTTGAAGGTATTTTACAAAATAATTGCATTTTTAACTAATGCTAAAAAACTCCCAACGGAAAACATACTTTTATTATGGATTTTCAAAAATTACCGCTTATCTCCCGATACCAAGAATAAATTATACATATATTTTTAATTTTATAAATATTATTAATTTCTTGCTCGAACATGAGTATATAGTTACATTTTTTTTAAATTCAAGAATTTCAAAATTATTTGACAATTCAAATTGGATTTTGTGCATTTAATGTTACACATCACTATTACTTTTATAACTTGACAAAAATATTCGATTTTTGACTCGCTAATATTAGAATATCTTATATATAAAATTATTTTGTGCGGGTGTATGATTTGATACTTCTCCTAAACGGCTATTCGGATTTTGATAATTCTTTTTAGAGTTTGTCAAAGAGAATCAAGGTTATACATCTTTTTCCCTCTACTTTCAAATATTGTCGTTAAACAATGCTTAACATTATTAGTTTTTGACACATCGGTGGTGGACCTTTTTAACTTCAGACTTTCATATATTACTATCTATTCTTCAATAAATTCTGGGAATTTTTAACTGGGAAAATGTTATTCGGTAAAATGTCCCTTTCATCGATACCAAATTTAGGTTCTGAATTTAAATAACATGAATAAAAATAATATAACTTAAAAAATGTTTTATAAATACAAATGAGTATATAATTATATAAATGAGATCTATCAGAGCACCGTGTTTGAGAAAAATATGATTTGCAAAAAAAGAGTGCTACAACGCCAAAAAATGCATTTTCATATCAACATTTCAAAAAAGTTGACATTTCGAGTTTCTAGTAACACTTGCGCCCGTTTAATAACGTTTTTATGTATAAATATAACCACAAACAGAACTACCTACTACAATTTAATCATAATTAAATAATATTCACGTAAAACATCCTATTAAACGCAATTGAACATCATCTGTCAAAAACGTTTGACATTTGACGTATTAGCCATAGTCCATTGTTTTATTAAAATTACGCCTCTACAAAAATTTTCAAATTAAAAATGTAAAGTTTCTACGCAGATTTGAAATAATTTCTCACCTTTTGGACAATCTCTGGATTGGCACGAATTTTTCAAGACTAAGACTGGCCAAATCCATTCAGCCGTTTTCGAGTTTTATTCGGACATTTGAAAGACAGCTCCATTTTTATATATAAGATAACTTATATAACAATTTTTGTTTTCTTTAGGTATGAAAAACTATCTGCTAAAACACGGTGAACGTGGTTTTGAGAGGGAAGTACAATTGGCTCGTGCCAGGTTACGTGGAGACGAGTTTTTGAATTTGGACGCACTTTTGGAGTCAGTCATGCAAAAATTGGTGGCAGTTCCTTTGAGAGAACACTTGTATGCACTCTTTGTAGAGTGGTGTGCGACCAGAGGCGATATCGAACTTATGGCTGAAAATATCAAGTTGGCTGCCGAATACGAACCTAGGGAACTTGGACTTAGGGTAAGGAAACATTTTATTTATTCAACTATATATTTACAACTGTCAACATAGACATTAAGTAAATCTTTTGGCAATTATATATAAAATTGACATCGATATATAAAAAGTGAAAAATACACAGTTGCATTTTTCCTTTATAAGAAGTAATGTAATGTGACACGAGTAATTACAAGTTAATTAAATCACTAAATATTTTTCTTTTGAAGTATTTTTTTCTTTTTTGGGTAAGGAAAGAAAACGAATCTGATTTTATGGTGACATGGCGATTTTTGGAACAATTGAATAGTGATGTAATTTTTTTTTTCCAGGCTTGTGTGAGTCCTCCAAATGGTGCTTCGATGAGTGCAATTGCTGATCAATTGACTTTGCTCCAGGAAGCAGAATCGCCTTTGGACAAACTCGATAAATTATTGAGGGCAGTTGCTTTGGTTTTTGAAGGAACTGGCGGGATAAAGTAAGGATATTAATATTTATATTTGTATTTATATTCACATTTATTTGTATATTTATATTACGGATACAGGATTGAATTTAGTAATTACAGAAAATAAATTATCCTAATTGAATTAATTACAATAAAATACAACTATAAAACAATATTAAGTCTAACATTAGTATTATCTTATACAATAACTTGAAGAAAAAAATGTTATAATATTGAAATAGTTTATTTAAGGCTTGTAGATCTTGAGATTCTTCTTATGGTGAAAAAAATCCTTTAAATATACGTTATGCAAATTTTTTTTGAGTTCCATACCTGGAAAATAAAAATTAATAAAAATTGATTAAAAATCATCTCTTTTGACAATAGGTCGTTGTAAGTTTTTTTCTATTTTTATATTGATTCAGAATCATTTCTTTTATTTAATGTATATAATCTATGGATATAATTGAATATCTGCAAGATAGTCTAGAGTTCAAATCCGTGTTACGTACAGACTGATATCAAGCAGTAGTGATATTTATTTTCACTTGAAAATATAGATCAAAAATATATATTCTAGTGAAAATAGCCCTTTTTGTCAACTGAAAATATATTACCACACTTTCAAAAAAAAGTAACCACTGGGTTCATTTATTTTGTAAAATATGTCAATGTGATATATGAAAATGAATAAATAATGGGACAATTATTATTTTGAAGCATATCTAGTTACAGTAGGAATTTTTTGTTCTTATCGTTAGATAATTTAGTTTTATTTAACATTTTCAAGTACTGTACTTATATTAGAAGAATAATTGTAAGGGTACAATTAAATTTATATTTTTATACTATTAAATAAATAATTTAATATTTTACAGCTTATATAATTTCGACAATATTTCGAGTATCGAATTAGTAAATTATATTAAGAAATTATAACATTATGAAAGTGCATATATTCTATGTCATTTATTACTATGTGTACGTTTTGGCTTGCATCTGGACCATCACCACGAAAACCACAAATAAAATCTATATGAATTATACGGGGTACACCAGATCTCAACGGCAATTCGAATCGGGGTGACAGTGTTGTTTATAACTACCATATAAAATTAGTAAAAAATATTTTTTGCATCTTGAAAATTATGAACTTTCAAATAGAACCCAAGGCTTTGGTGAAAATGTAACTATTTTTTGGTTATTGTGGTTAATTTTAATTATATTTGTTCATTTAAACTTTGGAGCTGCAACTGCAAATAACATTTCTTGTATCACAGTCAAAAATAATGACTTATACTTAATACTTTAAATTCTTTGTATACTTCTTTAAAATCAAAAACACCACATAATAGAATTGTTGACTTCGTTTTCAAAGTAATTTGTAATAATTGTGATAAATTCTATTTTGGAGAGGGTTCACAATAATATATAATGATTTCTTAAAAAATTCTTTAAATGTTTTATCTCTTAATATTAACTTTAAGATAGTCCGCACTCCAACTAAAGTTTCTTATGGAAATAATATTTGTTTTTCAGAATTTTATAACTTTGCGAAGTGAATCAACATTTTGAGAATAGCATTGTATTTGCTTATTTTCATCTTTAATAAGAAAATTACAACAAAAATTTGATATGTTTTATAAAATAAATATTTACTTAGGAAGTAAAACCAAGAAACTTTGGTTGGAGTGCAGACTATCTTAAAGTTAATAATTGAAGCTAAAATTTACAGAGGATTTTTTTTATCAATTTGGAAGCATTTGAGGCTCTGGGAGCTAGGAAATTCGAAAATGTCCATTGTAAGGACCACCCTAATATATATATATATATATATATATATTATATAATATATAATATATCTATTTTTTCCAGAGTGGTCTCCGCCGACGACTTCCTACCCCTCCTGATCCTGGTCATAGCCCGCTGCGGAATGGTCGGAGCAGAAATCGAGTCCGAGATAATGTGGGGCCTGCTCCAGCCCAGTCTCCTATCCGGTGAAGCAGGCTACTACCTCACTGCTCTCTCGAGTGCCGTGCACGTCTTGAAGAGCCTCGGAGCAGGCTGCAAGGACGCCACTGCCGCCTCCTCCAATTGCTTCGTGGCAGCTTCGAATAATGGAATCAATGGAGCATGCGAATCTGAAGTGAGTTAATAAAAGATTTAATAGAAAGGAAATATTTGGTAGGATTGAAAGATTTGTTAGGATTAGTTAGGATTGACAAATTTATTGGAAAGTTATTAGGATGATGGTTTGAAAATTTGATTGAAATCTCATCTAAATTGGTTTCGATCTGAAAATGAAGAGTTACAGATGATAAACAGACATAAAGATAAGAAAATGAATTAGTATTTGGATTTTAGGATTTGATCTTCGAATTTCAATTCGATATTTCATTACTAATCTCCAATTAAAAAGATTCAGTTACAGACGTAAAAGTGATTCTTTTCAATTTTAAAATAATTGAGAAAAAGTGTATAAATATAATTTTTTTGTTTGTTCTCAATAGTTCCTAAAGAGAGGAACATCTGATATATCCGAATAAAATAGAAATTAAATATATAATTTTCTGAGAGGCTTTTTGTTGAGAAAATATTAAAATTAATATTAAGGTGTGGCTTTTATCTATCACTTTATTTATTTCTATTCTATTACTTTTCTCTGCTTCAAAATTAACAACTATTATTTAACATGTATGTATGTTTTGTTATAATTTTGTATAAATGTTCTGTTCATGTTTTTTGATATATGTGTTTTATTATTAATGCGAAATTTTGATGTCTTTTTGTGTTATTTTTTTCTCTCTTAATTGTCAGTATTAATTTGTTTATGACTTTGTATTTGTATGTGTTATGAATTTATAAATATAAGTTTTAATAAATTTGTGTGCTTGCATTTTTATTTTTTGCTTCTGCTCTCCTGACATTCCTTGGCTTTGCTTTTTTCTTCTGCTCTACTTTTTTATTTTATTAATGCTTATAATTTTTCTAACACTATTTCAGCTATAATAAAATGTTCTATATATTTATATACTTATAAGTAATATATATATATATATATATATATATTATTTTAACTTGGAAATATAAACACAATGCTCTATTTTTTGTACTAATTAATAAATAATATTAGGCTTTATCGCCATTGTTGTTTTGAAAATTAATTGCTCGGATTGTGACTCCTCATATATCGGACAGAATTTTATAATATTTTAATTTTGAATTTTGAAATTAAAAATAAAGAATTAATTTGTAACATTTTAAGTATCTAAAATCAAGTCAATGGTGACATATCTTTATACTAATAATAACAATACTAATAATTCATGGTATATGAATTTGCACCATATTAACATTTATTTAATACCACAACCAAAAAAACTGAATTGTTTTTGAATTACAATATTTGTTACAACTGCTAAATAATATAACATCTAGTAACATTTATGAACAATAACAAAAATATAAATAAAAAAGAGTACAAAATAAAGGATAGTATTTGCATTAAACTAAATATGAATAAAAATAATCTAAATAATTATGTACTGACTGTTCTAAATTTGAAATAGAATTATCCCATTTTTTGTTAAAAAAAATATTTACCATCGTGGGCCAAATAATGTACAATTATATATGAAATTTTGCTTTTTTTTCATAAATTTTGAAACATTTTTTAAAAATCACTGTTTTGTTTCCTTTATCAATGTGCAATCATTTTGTCCATATATAGGGTATCCCAGAATTCAACGTTGAACCAAAACGAGGTGATAGCATTGATCTTAACGGTCCTCATTTTTTTTGTTTTTTTAAATTTCACACTTGGAAATTATGAGCTTTTAAGTGCTACCTAGAGCTTTGGTGAAATTATGACATTTTTCGGTTATTGTAGTTAATTTTTACTACTTGTTTTCATTAAATTTAGGAAATGTAATCCTGAATTTTTGGGACCACAGTAAAAAATTTGCCAATTTTCTCAAGTTTTCACAAATTTCCTCAAGATTTCAAAAATTACGACTTTTTGTTGAACTATAAATTTAAACTTTCCA